GCGTTTGGGCTCGGTGTGGATCCGTCTGTGGTTCTTGAGGGACATCAGGTTGGGGAACTCCTTCTGGCAGGAGTTGCAGAAGTAGGTCCCGGTCTTGTGGCTGTTCTTGTGGTTGAGCAGGGAGCTGGCGTGCCGATAAGACCGACCACACTGGTCGCAGACATGGGACTTTATGACCTCACTGTGGCCCCCACGGCTGCGGGCTTTGGTCATGCTGCCGGGGTCGAGTCCTTGCTCTTGCATCAAAGTGAGGTCCAAGCCTGACCCCCAGCCCAGCTCCTGGGAGCCCCCCGGTCGAGGCTGCTGGGGTCTGGGCTGGCGGGGCTGCGGAGCCTGGCCGTGGGTGATCTCCATGTGGAGCCTGAAGCTGGCATGCGTAGGAAAGGCTCGTTGGCAAGACCGGCAGGTCAGCTCCCGCTGCTTCTGGTGGACGCGTCTGTGGTTGTAGAGCTGGGAGGAAACACGAAAGGCCTTGCCGCAGTCGTGGCAACGGTGGCGCCGTGTCTCGGAGTGGATACGGCGATGGTTCTTCAGGGCAAGCAGGTTGGAGTAGGTCTTGAGGCACACGGCGCAGTGGTAGATGCCGACAGTGTGGGTGTTCTTGTGGTTAAGGAGGGAGCTGGCGTGACGGTAGGAGCGGCCGCACTGATCACATCTGTGCAGAGACAAAGAAGGAAAAACAAGGGGGGAGGAAGAAGGGGATGGGAGGAGGGACAGAAAGAAAGAAAAAGGGAGATTATTAACGGAAGATGGTAGTTTGTTTCCACCATTCTAGTTAATCTCAGTTACTGGTTACCACTTTTTCTATAGAATTATTCAAATATTTGAACTACTCATCATCTAAGATGTTGCACATACAGGTATATGATCTGAAATCCGGCTTAATGCTTCTAAAAGAAGACTACAACAAAGTGGTGTACCATTTACAGTTATGATCTCTAGACAGGTCATGGGGAGAGGACTGCTGGGTGGGGGAGGGAGGGACATGGGAGAAACTACGGACAAACAACTGGGATTCATGTAGGGAACTGGGAGGTATCTGCCGCTCCCTGCACTGCACAAATGGACACAAGCTTCAAAGACCTTCTATCGCAGCCTTCTTTTGGGTGAGTTCTGAATGTAATGATGAAAAATCCATCAAACATGCCCAAAGTACCTCTACCAGTCGGCTACTGTGCTGCAGTAAAGAGTCCTTTAACTGTTAGGAATAATAACCTCTAGACATGTGCAGTGCAGCTTGCTCCAAATACTTCCTAATCTTCCCTGTGATTTCAGTTTGCCAAGACATCAGAATGCAAGAGCCCCATCACATAACGGCATTTTCTAGTCTAATTACTGGCCAGTATCATGATGCTAACTAAAGAAAACAAACACAAACAAAGACTACAATCAAAATCATAACAAGAGCAAGGAACACACAACATCAATACTTTAAATTTAGCTAATATGCTACATACAAAATACTACGTAAATCAAATCTGTGTCAAAGTTTGCTGAGAAAACAAAGCATTAAAACAATACATCTAAACATGAAATGTTTGACTGTAGGTGCCTGGAAAACTAAAGTGTGTGATATATGCTAACTGAAAGCAAACAGGGTTGACTTATCTGGTCTCTCCACTAATTCAATTTGTCCAAACTTCAGAAAAATCCGAATTCCGGCACGCGTATGGTCCCAAGGAAGCCGGATTGGAGATCATATACCTGTAATAGACATGTAGAGACCTAAATTTATCTTCACTATTTTTTTTTCAACTTCGAAGAATCACAAACAACTGACGAGAACTCACGTGTACCGACACTCTTCGCCCTCTCCCGTGGGTGCAGTGGCCTTCCTCCTGACTTCCATGCCTACCTGGTTGTCCCCGCAGCGGTGCCTGGCCAGACCGGATCTTCCCTGGAAACTCTTCCCACAGGTGGGGCAGCCGAAGGGGGTAGCACCCTCCTCATGGACCTTCTGGTGGTTGCGGAGGAACCTGGCCAGCCGGAAGGCTTTCCCACACGTGTGGCAGATGTGCTTCTTCCGCTGCGTGTGGATACGCATGTGGTTGCGTAATGCCATGTAGTTGGTGTAGGGTTTGTCGCAGAAGTTGCACCGGAAGTTTCCCGTCTTGTGAGTGTGCTTGTGGTTCAGCAAGGAGCTTGCATGTTTGTAGGCGCAGCTGCAGAGGTCACAGGCGTAGGGTCTCTCGTCAGAGTCCAGGTCCACAGAGCTTCTCTCCATGCTGATGTTGGTGGAGCTGTTGGTGGAGGAGGACGAAGGCAGGTGCTGGGCTGGGCAGTCGTGGGCTGCGAGCTCATCAGCCGTGGCAAAGCCTTCACAGCAGCCATCACACTCAAAATCCATTTGGGCCCCGGGGCCCTGTGGGCCTTTGCACAGGCCAGCTGTAGTGTGGGTCGCTAGCTGCCTCTGGGTGCGGAAGCCCTTGCCGCACTCTTGGCAGTTGTGCTTCTTCTGGGCAAAGTGGAGACGTAGGTGGTTTTTCATTGCCAGCCTGTTGGGGTATGTAGAGTTGCAAACATTGCAGTGGTACTCCCCAATTTTGTGAAGGTTCTTGTGATTGGCCAGGCTGCCTGCATGGCGGTATGTCTTTCCACATTCTTCACAGGAAAAAGGCCGCCGCCCAGTTTCAGCAGGGTCAAACTTCTGGGGCCTGGACGTTCCAGCTGAAGAGTAGGGCTTTTTGAACCCTTGATGGCTGTACTTCACGCCCATTACCTGGCCCTTTGATGACTCTCCTCTCTGCATAGTTTGCATTTGAGACGGGCCAGGTTGCTGGAAGCGGGAACCATTAGGGCCGGTCCGAACAAGACCTTTTGCCCGGTGCTCCTCGTGGAGACGGAGGTGGTTGATCAGCTGCTTTTGGATCTTGAAGGCCTTGCCACATTCTTCACACTTGTGCCTGCAGCATGATTGGATACAGATGAAGAAAACACAGTAGAATTTCGGTAAATACATGAGATTAATAAAATTTAACCCATATCAAGGCATTGGTGGTACTACATACAACCCTTTGTGGAGGCTATAATCTTATGCATTAAGGCCCAGAAGTCAAATTCCCTCAAGGTTGGCAGTCCTGGTACAGTGTTACAATGATCAACTGAAGTACAACCAGTTTGGCAACAAATTTACTTGCTAGGACAGAAATAAATCCTATCTATTAAGACATCAGCCTCCACATTGGGCTGAAAAATCAATAATTAACAGTAGTTTGGAACCTTCACTGTGATGAAATAATTTAGTACACAGTCCAACAACATCATCCCAAGTTAAATCAAAAATGGACAGACAGGGACCTACCTCTTTAGATCAAAGTGGGTCCTTTGGTGATTCTTGAGAGCCAGCAGATTGTAGTAGCGTTTCTGGCACACCAAGCAGCGGAAAACACCAGTCTTATGGGACTTCTTGTGGTTGAGAAGTGAGCAGGGGTGTCTGTATCCTCGTCCACATTGGTCACACTTGTGGGGCTTGTCACTTTGGTCAACCATAGGTCTACGTCCATCGCCACCAACATCACGGCTTCCTCCGGCGACCCCACCACCGACGCCATCTCCTCCAGACATCCCTTTGGCTCCATTCAGGCCCTGTTTGCTCAGTGAGCTGGCCCGATTCTTACCGGGGCACAGGTGGGTGATCAGGTGGTGGCGGTCAGCAAAAAACATGCCACAATCGACACAAATGTGGTTGCGTCCGTCCATCTTGTCATTGCCATTAGCTGAGGCGGCGCCAATACCCTGTTGCTGGCCGTCTGGCCTTTGGGGGCCATGGACTAACTGATGATTCAGGAGGTCCTGTTTCCTAGAGAAGCTCTGGCCACAGGTGGAGCAGATCATCCTCCACTCCTGCTCCAGACTGGAAGGTCCCGGCCCTGTTGGGTTATTGGCATGGCTACGCAAGTGGCTCCTGAGGGCTCTGAGGCTGGCGTAGTGATTGCCGCACACCGAGCACTGATACACTTCTCCATCGTCCTCGTCATCTTTGTCATTGCTGCCCATTCTCTTGCCTCCGCTCTGGGAGTATTGCCGTTGGCTGCTGACTTCTTTGAGGCTGCTGGAGCTTCCAGCTGGCAGCGAGGTCCCACTGGAGCTGTGGTAGTTCATGTTCCCCAAAAAACCGTTGGACATGTTGCCCTGCGGCTGTTGTGGCTGCTGGCCACGGCGGGGACACATGTGAGACTTGATGCCAGAAACATCTCCATACATCTCACCGCAGTCTGCACACACGTGTCTGTCGGCCTGACGGTGAGCAGAGTTGCTCTGAGAAAGTGAGCTGCCGTCAAAGCGATCGTGGAACTCAAGAGAGTCCAACCCACTGCTGTGGCCACCATCCGGTACAAAGTGGGCAGCATCTCCAAGATTTCCTGGCAGTGAGATTGGAGTGGTGGCACCACTGCCTTCCTGGACGTAGCTCTGTTGGGAGTCCAGAGTTAGCGGCTCAGGTGATAGCCAGTCGTTGCTGTCGTTACCGATGGGCTGGTTGGAGGGACGCCCTTTGTGGCTTCGTAGGTGGCTGTGTAGCGCTGCCAGGTGAGGGTACTGCTTACAACAGATGGTGCACTGGTAGTGGCCAGTCTGATGGCAGCGTTTGTGGTTCACCAGACTCCCTGCATGCCTGTAACTTTTGCCGCACTCCCCGCACTTAAAGCGACGCTCTCCGTCATCTGGAGAATTGGCCTGAGGCACGCGGCCACCAGAGGGAGAAGACACAGAGCCCTGTGATCCAGAGCTTAGTGTGTCTGAGTTGAGGATGGAGCTGTCCTGGCCATGGGAGGCAGGGTGGGGGTCATGGGTCAGATAGTGGACTTTCAAGGTATCCAGATCTGGGTGCCCCGCGCCACAGTATGCACATGTGTAAATGGGATTGTTGACTGGAGGGCCCATTATGGGGTCATAGGGACCTCTTTTCTCACTTGGCAGGGGTGGCAGGGGCAGAGGGTCCCCCAGGGCAGGAGTGTACGCTGGGGATCGCACCGCACTCAGATTGTGAGGCATGATGCCTGGGAAACTGCGCGGCAGTCCAAGGGAGGGTGAGGCCGCGTTGTGCAGCAGGATGTGCTCCTGGAAGTCCGTCTTATTCGGCAGCGCTATCTGACACAGGTGGCAGAAGCAAGAGGCCGCGTCGTCGCTCTGGGACGACTGCGTGCCACTGCTGCGCTCCGAGTCGTGGAGGCTGCTGCTGCTACTGCTGCTGCTCACCATGGATGCCCCGGGGGTCTTGAACTTCGAGTGAGTTCTCTCGTGGCTGTTTAAGGCAGCCAGGTTGCTAAATTGTTTAAAACACACAGAGCACTTAAAAGTTCCTTGCTGGTGACACTTCTTGTGGTTCACCAGGCTACCGTGGTGCCGGTAGGTTCGGTCACACTGATCACACTTGAATGGTCTGTCCCAAGCGTCGTCGGACTCAGGGGAGCCTTTTTTTCCGTGGTCGTCTGTCTCGTGGCTTTGTAGGACACTATGTCCCATACCACTATTGTTCAAATGGGAGCGGCCAAACCCGTCCGAGAGGTCTTGGGCGAGACCGTAGTCCCTCTCGTCGTGGCCGGCTTCTTCGGGTACTTCTTCGCTCTCTTCTTCTGTGTGTGCACTACTAGGGGACAATGTATGGATACGGAGGTGGTTCTTTAAAGCTACCGCGTTGGGTAGGGTACGTGTACAAACAGGACACTGGAATGAACCTACTTCGTGAGACTTTTTATGATTAGCTAGGCTAGCTGCGTGCTTGTAAATTCGGCCACACTGTTCACACTCAAAACGTCCGGTCTCTTCTTGCTGATAATGTGCTTTCATATGCTCTAGAAGACTTGGAGTACTCGGGCAAACCATATCACACTCTTTACAGGGGAAACCCTTGGCACGACTCATATCATGCATTGCCATAGTACTCTAAAGCAAATCGGTCGGCGGGAATCACAGTTCACAACAAAGCAATGAACAGTGATGTTAGGGAGGTGGAGGAGGAAACAGTGGAGCTTAGCTCTTCAGCTGGGGGGCGGCGCTGGCAGCCATTTTCTCCCCAAGAGCCGACAGTGGAGGTCCAGCCAATCTGGGCCCACCCTGGGAGGTGGCGGGCCTGCGGGGGTCACACCAGCCAACGAGGTATCACTGTGGAGACAAAAAGAAGAGAAAGAAGGAGGGTTACTTACAGAGCAACAATCCATTTCATCTTAAAATAAAGGAGTTAACTGCTTATGAAACTAGTCTCAGTTCATACTGATGCCTCGCTATGACCCACATGAACCTACGTCTATATAGTTATTCTCATCCCCTTGAAATCAATGAGACAAGACGGTAGAAACACTACGGCTTTGGTCCACAGGGGCAGAATCAACACTAAATGAAAGTTCCTCTTTGCTGCTTTAAATGAAGTTAAACTCTTTATTTGACGAAGCAAAAGATGAAAGATAATTCAACAATTGTGATAACTGTTCTCAAATACTAACATCAGTTTAATGTTAGTTAACAGTTAAATGTTTTTGCCACGAAAAGGAAATAAAATTGTAAATGACAAATGATCATTGTTGTTATTTATTAATTTGATTCATTCAGACAATGAATCACTGAATCAAGTGTCGGACGACAACAACAGCCAAAATATTAAAACAGATTTTAAAGAGCAGGAAACTAGGAAATACATGATCTGTCCATCAACTAATTATTTATGATCGGCCGTATATTAATCAAAGCTTCAGAGTCATCTGGTTGTAAAGCAGCAGATGTGAATCCTAAAGCCAGCGGGCCATAGCTCCACTCCCAGCCACATTCACAGCTGACTGACAGCAGCATGAAGGACACACCTTTGTTGACAGTGTAAAGAGGACGGAGCACACAGCGAGTTCTCCACAGCATCAACAAACCCTCAACCAACACACTCAGGTTATCCCCAGTAACACAGCAGGACCACACAGAACAATACAAACTGCAGGCGTCAGCTGATTTACTCAAGATTACACAGAATTCATTTGAACCAATCATAACGATCAATTAATCGGTCTATCTATAGGCTGGGCAGATGGAAGTAAAAGCTACATGCTTCTAAAAACCCACAGAATGATCAACTTCAACCAAATCTAAAACACTTTATCAGCAATTCAACAGAAAACTGATTCAGTCACTTTACAATCCGATGTGAGGATTTCTGCACCGTTTTCACTGAAACAAAGAATAATTGATTCAATAAGAAAACAATGATTAATCAATTTAAATAATCTTCAGCCTGAAACAGAGCCTGATTGAGCTGGTCAGTACCCAGAATGCACTGGGGTTTGATACGCTCCACTGCTCTGGTTGATTTATTTTTTGATCAACATGTTTCTGACAGTTTTATATTATATTTTAACAACATACAAAGTTCTTCTATATAACCCTATTATTACTATAACAGTGTTATTTTCTGTTCAATTTAAGACATATTTAATGTCCATATTGACAATATGTATGAAGGAAAATTGGTTGCTTGTTGGTTTTGTAGTTTTTCTATATATATATATAAATATAAAAGAGTTTATAAGTCTTGTTTTCTGTCTGGAGATGAACAGAGGACGACGCACCTGCCAACAAGACGGGACCCCCCCACCTGAACCACAGCGTCCTCTACAGGACTCTTTACTTCTACCTGCTGACAACCTCTTTACATCAGGAACTATCAGCTTTCTGATCAATGCATATCAGTAGGAATGAACAATAATCAGCTGATCATTATTATATTATTTAAATTACAGCCAATACATTAATCATTTATTATGCAAAATGATCGATAGAAGCAAAAGTAAGTTTGAAAAAATAAATGAACATTTGAATAGTTTGTTGTTGTAAACAATAGTGTTTGTTTGTTTTTTCTCAGCCTCTCTTACACTCAGAAACTCACTGCATCAACGACAGGTTAGAACTGCTGTTTAAATACCAAAATGTGTTATTATCAGTTATCTTATCGGCTGATTATTATTCACATCACCAGATATTTATTCCTGTACAACATAAAGCATAAAATAATAATAATAATAATAATAATAAAAGTAACTGATTCCTGTCATTTCTGTATTAAGTCATCTTCATCAATGGTTAATGACAGAGAGGAACACACACACACACACACACACACACACAGGGGTCAGTAATCAGATCAATAGTTCGTTAAGGATCAGATGTGATTAAAGTGAGTCGATGTCTCTGACAGTTTTAACGGGCTAATCTGTAATCTGTGACAGATTACAGCAGGCGGCCATGTTAATCTGCTCTGACAACACACTCTCTCTCTCTCACACACACAGTGACACACACACAGTGACACACACACACACACACACAGACACACACACACACTCACACACACATCGGGCCCCCCCAGCCGCAGGCGGGCTCATGACCTTGGCCCGTTTCCTCTCGTTCCGCGGTTCAGGCCTCAGCCTGAATTTTATCCGGACAAAAGCGGGAGCGATTTCACCGCCGGGACATTTCCTCCGGCCGGACTTCAGTTTAACCCGGGGGGAGGCAACCCGAGCCCGGCACGGCAAGGACGGTTGGTTGGCAAACACGCGGGAGGAAGGTCCACCGGGTGAAAAAACGGTGCTTATTAACCGACACGATGGGTGCCGGAGCGCGGGATTGACCCCTCCAGCCATCAGCCGCTGTCCACTGAGCGCGTCTCCATCGGAAAATGGCTTTCAGCAGGCAGCGGGAGCCGATTTTCCCCCGTTACCTGTTAGCACTTGCATTGCTAACAGGCTAACGGGGGTTAGCAATAACAGCAGTAGGTAGCATTTGTGGCTACAAACCGCAGGATGCGTTAAAGCGGTGTAAAACACGGTTTTTTTGTAAACACGGGTGTAAGATACGGTGTAAACAGGGTTGGTTAAACCAGGGATGCCACAGCACCACACAAACAACCTGCCGGGGTTTTTTTAGAGGCTCACACTTTAAAATTAAATGAAAACATTATTTCGGGAAACGGCGGGCGGAGGCTAACGGCTTAAGCGTAGCGCCTGGCTGAAGCTAGCAGCCGCGATGAGAGAAAGGGGAGAAAAACGGAGCTTCAAAACAACAAAAACGGTAAACAACCGGACAACAAACACCAAACCGAACTGACATGTTAACGTTGAGTAACAAGGGTGAGCTTTTTCCGGGCAGTTGTTTCCCGGTTGAACTTTGAAGCAGCTCGTTAGCACGGAGTAGCCACCTGGCTAGCCCGCAGCTACACAAAGATCGGACAAACTCAACGACGGGAAAAAAAAAACCGCGTTTTGGATCCGTTTTTTCTTGGTCTCACTTACCGGTCCGACCGGGCTCTGCCTCCGCACGCCAACGATAGCACGGGGGGGCGGTGGGAAAGGCTGCCCCAAAATGCTGCAACTTTCACGGATTACGGCTGGTTATTTTTTGTTGCCTCTATTCAACCACCGGACTTTGGTTCTTTGGCTCTTTCCCCCCCTCCTCTTTACCGGGCGCTCTGCCGTCGCCTCTGCCGCTGCCGCTTCCAGCAGCACACTTCCTGCCGCTGCCGCTCTTGCCGCCTCTGCCAGCTGCGCTTCCACAGGCACCTTCCTTTGCCGCTGGCCGCTTTCTGCGCTTCTTGCCGCTGGGCCGCTTCCACAGCACAACTTCCTGCCGCCTGCCGCTCTGGCCGCTCTGGCCGCTGCCGCTTCCACAGCACATTTCCTTGCCGCTGGGCCCGCTCTGCCCCGCTCTGGCCGGCTTGC